CGTGATGCAATCAAGGTGAGTTATGCGCGCTGATCAGGTCTCCTTACAAACGGCTAATTTGACGGTGACAAAGTCCATCAGCATTAAGCCCTCGTTGACAGGCTATATCTCCAAGGCCATCGCCCTCTGTGGACAAGGCCATGTCCGGAACGCGAGGGCAGCATTTGATGTTGCATCAATTTACACGGATCAAAATCCACAAACCATTCATTTCCTGCTTTTGATCAAAGTATGTTGCATTTGCCTCACATACTGTCCGCTTCATCGCGTATTTCAGGTCATCGCCTTCTTCAATGCAGATCAATATGATGAGGCAAACCTACTCCTTAAAGAACTTGTTGCTGGTGGTCCGAATGCCGATACTCGCGCATGTCATATTGTGGAAGTCAGTATCATGCAGTCACGCTGCGTCATCGACACTAACTCGCGCATCAGGCATATCTACGTGTTCAACTTGGACTCAAAGCCTTGGATGATGCACGTCACGACGAAGCCGCTGACAATTTCACTGCTGCTCTCGACTCCGACGCTTTATCATCGGAATCGGACATCCATGAAATTTATGAGGATTTGGTGGTGGTATGTTGATACATGTCCAAAACACTTTTCATAACCAAATCCCTTGTGCAGCTTTTCGGCTGGGATCTCAAATCGTTGTGGCTCACTGCACACCAGAAAAATTGTTATGCACTCCTTCGGGCAGGTAAACTTCAAGATGCCGTGAAATCATACCGATACATGATGGCTTCCAGTGACGAAAATACCAAGGCCCACTACCTTGACTGGTCCGATGGCAAGTGTGGAGTTTGTAATGTTGCGCAGGCTACAATCCTCATCCGTATTTCACTCAGTTTTCACGGAAGAATGCAGCGCGCTCTGTATTACTGGCGGAGATGCTGCCCTCACTGCAGGCAAGTACGACGCGGCTATTGACCTATACTCGGCGGCGATCGACCTGGATTCTGCATCCGATGTCGTCTTTGCAAATCGCAGCAAGGCGAGGTCGGAGAAAATGCTATGGGAGGGTGCGCTTCTCGACGCGCAAAAGGTGCGATGGCAACTATGTTTTCGTAGTCCGTGTTGACTTTGACAATGCATAGGTCACCGAACTCAATCCTTCGTCTCACGTTGGACACCAGTTGGCACATACGGCGCTGCGTGGCGCGCAACGTTATGACGAAGCCATCGAGGCATTCACAATCATGTTGTCCAAGTTGGACGATGCTCCCGAAGCGCAGATATGAAGTAAGCCATGGAACACTGCGTTATGATCTTGAAATGCCTAATTCGTTCTGCAGATCTACGTCAGCAGTATGTGTGTCCATCCGAAGCAGAAGACGCTATTCGAAGCGCGGTTTGGATTGAACTCGAAAATGCCCCCCTTCGTCTCCTCAACACCTCTACGGGTCTTTTGTGTGACCGAGCAGCACAGCTTAACTCTTTCAAAATGAGTCCAGAATACAACGATCTTGTCTCATTTCCAACAAAGGATTCAAACCTCCGAATGGGGCGCATCAAAGACGTAGTGGCGACGTACTTCCGCTGCGTCCTGCTATCACATAGGTGGGAAGAGGCGGAGGTACTGCTGGACGACATTCAGAACAAAGATTTGCGCGAGTTGGATGGATTTGGCGGTATCGCGAAGTTACAGTCATTCTGCAAAGTCGCTCGTGACGCTGGGTATCGCTGGGCGTGGATGGACACCTGCTGTATCGACAAGAAGAGTAATACCGAGCTTCAAGAATCGGTCAACTCTATGTTCGTCTGGTACCGCCATTCAGCGCTTACCATCGTCTACTTATGTGATGTCCCTCCTTTATCCCAGCCGGGTGCGCTGGCAAGGAGTGTTTGGAACAAGCGAGGATGGACCTTTCAAGAATTCGTCGCTCCGAAAGTTGTTATCTTTTATCAGAAAGATTGGTCATTATATCTTGACGATCGCTCTCCTAACCACAAAGAGTCCCCTGCAATCATGAAGGAGTTGGAGGATGCGATGGGCATAGATGCGCGGGCCCTGGTAACTTTCCGTCCAGGGATGAGCGATGCCCGACAGAGACTTCAATGGGCCTCATCTCGCATCACTACCTTGCAAGAAGACATCGCGTACTCATTGTTTGGCATCTTCGGTGTCCACCTACCTGTGATCTACGGCGAGAAGAAGCAGAACGCGCTTGGGCGGCTCCTGCAGGAGATTGTGGCTCGGTCGGGCGACATCACTGTGCTAGACTGGGTCGGACAACCTTCCGAATTCAATAGCTGTCTTCCAGCCCATATCACCTCTTACGCTACTCCTCCATGCATCCTTCCATCTTTGTCCGAAGATCAGATTCAGAAAACTATCTCTTCGCTGCGAGAAAATCCCATGGCTGTGGATTTGGCTTCTGAACTTTACGAACGACTTGATAACACGAGCGCTGCTCGTTTCGCGAACTGCAGACTACACCTGCCTTGTATGGCATTTCGTGTTACAGAAGTCAATCTGAGCTACGGTTCATCCCAGGAGATTCGATATGAAGTCAAGGCAGACGGGCTCCATGACCTGCTGATCACCACTAAAGAGCCGATTGTTCAGTTCTCACAAACAAAGCCTACTCAGCAAACCTTCGTGCTTGTCCGTCCCTGGGATCGGTCTCTCCTTGAGCTACCAGACTTTACAGATTTGCAAGACGATACAGGAAGCGAAGGGGATTATTTTACGCCGCCTTCTTCTCCGTCAGACAACTCACCTGGCCGTTTTCTTGTAAAACAAGAGGTGGACGATTTAGAATTGCGAGCATTTCGGTTACTTGTTCGCCTTGGGCAGCCTTTTGGCGCATTTTTGCTAGCGCGGCAGCGTGGCGGAGAATACAAGAGGGTCGCGTCAGATCATGATATCATTGCACAGGTCGAAGATGTGGCTTCTAATCGAGACCTGATGAACGTCAGGACGATAGAAATACTGTAGATGTATGTTGTTTCCCAAATATTAGGTATCTGAGTGGTTTATAAAGTGCATTGGTACTTCATATAATCATACTACACGCACGTGTATTGGACTACCGATAGTTGCAACTTTTCATTTGAGGTGAGCCATGTGCCAAGAAGGTACCATGAAGAGCTAAAATTATGTAAGTAACCAAACAACACGTCAACACGTGAGTCGGTGACGCGTCATCTTCAATTCTTAAGCTTAATTTATACCGCATACCAGATTCATTGCACGCCTCTTGCTGGTACTTATCACAAGCCCCCCCTGGTCCCTGATATGATGCATGAATCAAGTCTTATTAATGTTGCCACCCCTTAGTGGCATCGCAAGTTCCTTGGTCCCCCCTGGTCCTCCGAGCCATCTCAGATTTTAGGTACCTGATCCGGATGATCGGGCTTCAAGTTACTGCTGTTCCAGGCGCATCGAAAAGTACGTGATTGCTACTAGAAAACAGGCGTCCGGTGGCAACACAGTGACAGTGGGAGTAATGCGCGGCAGGACAGGGCCTGCCCTTTCGGCGACATTTTGCTGCGACGACAACAGTGAGATATTTTTGATAGGGATGATGCGAGAAGTTTGCTCACCTTCACGCGAAGTCACATCGCAGTTACTCAATCACATATACCATGCCGCCCTTCCCCTGCTTGCATCACTGCCAATGCGGCAATTCGACGAAGAGAGCCGCGAGAATTGGTTACTGCCCCAAATGTTCCGAAACTTGTGAGGGAAGAGGGACAGCTACTACGAGGGGAGGCGTGACAGAGTATCACCCACGACAAATGGGTGAAATATCAGACAGGGTCATGTTCCGATTGCAAGTAGTGCTGCCGTGGTCCGGTTCAGAGGGTCCTGGATGAGAACCAAGAACCGGACCACAGGGAACCGTTCTCTGTGGTCTGGTTCGGTTTTTTTATGGTCTGAACCTGAACCAAACCCAAAAATTTCAGTACAGTAGCTAGTCCAATAACATAGCTTTTATTAACAAATGCGAAGACTATTACATGTGTGATGTGATAATATAACATGTTGATGAAAACTCAATGGTCCTTCATAGGCGGCGGCGTCAAAGCATCCACATGGTTGATGTCAAAGGGGTGAATGAGTGGAGGGTTTGGAGGTGGTGTGGAGTTGGGGAATAAGAGGGTGCAGCGGCGGCGTAAACAGGATTGACGATGTTGATGATGAGTATATTGCGTTCGGTGGGTGTGATGAGGAGGCCGGGATAGGATAGGTAATCATATTCGAGCGCCGGGAAGTACTAAGGGAGGGTGGGTAGGACCAGAACGAGCAGCTAAGTTTGAAAGAGGGTACCCAGATGGTGCAGCGGCAGCGTAAACAGGGTTGACGACGTTGATGATGCACATATTGCATTCGGTGGGTGTGATGAGGAGGCGTCGGCGGCGGGTTGATGCAGTGAAACAGCGCAATACACGCACCTCTGCATCTTAGGGTAAGACACCCACAATCCCTTCGAAGCCCACTCGACCACGCCCAACGCCCTCAACGTCCAGTAAAATGTCGGGGCTCGTTCCAATCACTACGTCCCTGCGAGAGTTCAAAGGTCATGAAGGCTGGGTAATGGCAGTCGTAGTCTTCCCCGACAAACGACGGAGATTACAGACTCGGGGGACAGGATGATTCATCTGTGGGGCTTGAAGACAGGTGTTGTGTCGAAGAAGATGACAGGGCATCACAGTGAGGTGCGGAGATTGGCGGTAGTATCACGAGATGGGCAATTGATAGCTTAGTATTAGTAGTGTCCCAGACATAGTGGGGAGTATGGAAAGCCGGACGCTCGTGCTCAACTATCAATCAAATACTACCTCATATAGTAATCGGACCTCGAGCACCGCACTGGGCATATTTACTTGTGTTGATCAGTGCAAACCTACTTGTGTATTTGAATCTAAGTCGAGTGCATAGTGATGAAAACCGAATGCCGTAATACATTGTAACACTATCCAAAAAACATATGCCAAATGAAAACCACTATCATTCAAACTATTCCGGCCTCAAACCCCTCAAGTTCAAACCCTGGCCATTTGCAGAAGTGGTTGCAAACGTGGCGAGCCTCAAATTCACTGACCGCCTTCTTGATATTACCCCCCCCCCCAAAGATGTCTTTGCTGTCACTAACCGAAGGGTGTGTCATAATCTGTGGATCGGTCAACAGCTTGGTATTGCCTGTTTGATTCCGATGTCAGAATTGCCAGTGCGCAACACATCAACGTAAAGCACATACCTTGATAATCAGAGATAAAAACCAGCCCACCCGTCTTGACGTATTGCACGTGTTGTGTGAATGCAAGAAACAATGCAAAGTCATACCCAAATTCATCCGGATCGAGCAATGGATTGGGATCCATGTTATGAATATATTTGACAAAACTCTCGTCTCCACCATCGATAACTTCTTCGAGGAGAAAGCCTGCACGTGCCGTTGCAGCCTTTGATGCAGGCTTGCTACTATCTTGATAGTAAGATAATGCCAGACCAGCTTTGACAAAGCGGACACGGGGAATATCAAATGGTACAGGCTCAGACGCACTTGCCACCGCATGGTCAATAAAGTCGTAGACCAGACCTAGCAAAGCCTTTGCCCAATATAGGACATTAGCTTCCCTGAATAACTTCGGCAACTCGTCTGCAAGCGCAAAGCGACCGATCTTGTACTCCAAACTCGCCAGTGCACCTTTAGGATATACCTTGTAGAATGGACGTTTGACGACAATGTCGTGCCGTGCCCTGGACCCAAGACCTGAAGTTGGAGGCAACATCAATGTCAGCCATCCTGTATGTGCCGTCTTGAATCCACCTATGCTGATGCAACCCTCAAGGGAGGTGTCAAGAGTGACGTAGCCCACCAACAAATCAGCATTGTCCACGGAAAAAGAATGGTGCCGGGTAGTCTTCAAAAGGTCACTGAGTTGTCGGGTGGGAATTGAATAAAAGTTGATGTTTTCGGTCTGAAATTTGGAGACTTACATCTGGGTGAGCACATCAAACACATACATCAGTGAACGACAACATACCCTGTTTCAAGTCCAAATCAGCACCTCCACCAATCTTCAGGGCTACTTTGAGGTCATTGCGATTGGGAGAGCAGAGAAGTGCAGGCAGGGGATTACGAGGGACATTGAACTTGTGAGGAGGTGAGACAGTGCCAGAGGTGGAACTTATTGCATGTTCATGAGTTCGCTTGATGGATGTACCAGTGGTGATAACTTGTGCAGCAGCAGATGATGTATCCGGTGGTGCTAAGTTGGAGTCGAACAGTGGGGGAGGGACTGCAGTGGGTGATGTGTCCAGCACCAACCCAGGGCCAAAAAGTGGGTCTGCTGAGGTGAATGGTGGGTCAGTCGAGTAGGTGGTGAACGGTGGGTCAGTCGAATAGGTGTATGATTCCACCGAGTTGGCACGCAGTGCCTTGCCCTTGCCCTTATGACTTGAGCGTTCGATTGCCTGTACAATTCAGTATAAGTTAGCATGCGTGACAATTATACAATGAATAAACATACCATTTCGTTCGCTTCTTGCTAATCTTCGAATTCCATCCATTGAGCCTCCGGCACAACTACCATAAGACCAAATTGTTTTGTCTTGAATATCGGGGCTTTCGCTGGACCTTTGTGGGCAGGCTGAAGACACTGAGTAGAAATATGGAATGGACAGCTGGTGTGTCGCAAGATCAACCCATTTTAAGTCTCTCACAACAAATTCATGGTTGTGCCATGAAAAGGTGCCGCTGAATGTGTGTAGCTTCGCTTCGGCAGGACAGTCTCCAAAGCCAAGTTGACGAGGCTCGGGGCATCAATTTGAGCGTCGATGTCCTTCTTGCCCTCGCAAATATTCTAAATGTAATGTGCCGGTTCAGCCAGGTATCAAAGAGAACATAGGAAAGGCGTACCCCAATCAATATACCCCTTGCTTTTTTGCGCCCCCCTGCTTCATGAACGGCCGAGATCTCCAGCGAAATTGTTTCAGCCATCGCGCCACCAGGAGTGGCATACGCAAGTTTGGCCCATCTCTGATGCTCGGCTGAATATGATCCATGGTGAGCTGAATATCCAATAGGGCCTGTGAGCCTCGATGGTACTGGTGATGCAGCTGACCCCTGCCAAGATGTAGGGATAACTACATTGGGACCAGTGACTGTGTGGTGAGGTAAAGGGACAGGTGGTGGGCCCATAGAATTATTAGTCCAGTCCGGGATTGCAATGACACAAGGCGGATTGAGACTTACTGTTGGTCATGGTCAGATTCAGCTTGAGCCCTGTGAGAGATTGGAGCGAGCAACTTACATTTACGTTGGCCAGCGTTCACCAACTGCCGAATAATCTGAGGATCCGGCCCACTGGTGGGTTTCTTCGACATTACAGACCTGATATGAATTCATTCTACGTACAACAACAACAACAACAACAACAACAACAACTCACCTATCTCTAAATACAATTACCAGAAGGCTCAGCAGTTGCACCAGTGATCATAGCGACTGATAAGACCCAGCTAACCCAATTCTCTGGCAGCAAATCAGCCTACCCCGTGTACCTCACTCTTGGCAACATTCCTAGAGCCATTAGGCACAGGCCTTCCCAACAGGCATGTATCCTAATAGGTTACCTCTCTGTGGACAAGATATCAAACTCCAAACTCTCCAAGAAGGAGAAAACGTCCAGAATACAGTGTTTATTCCACGAATCTATGCGTACAATCCTGGAACCTTTAAAGGAAGCTGGGCGTACTGGGATGGACATGGTTGGCAGAGATGGAAAGGTCCGGAGGATACCAAATCTTGTGGTGTATACTGCTTAGAATCACGATCCGCGTCATAATATTTCAGCAGGTCGGTCTTAAGCTGTGTCCAGTTGTGTGTGTTATAGCTGTCCAATACCTCAATGAGCGCTGTAACAGCACTTGAACAATATTGAGTAATATTCTCACACATATCCTTAGGGGTTGTCATGTGACATTGCTGACAAACACCCTCATATCTCTCAAAAAGAGCTATATGAACACTCTTCTTATTCTCCACTCACTTATTCACACTCAAACTTAGATAATATGGAAATGGGCTCTCTGTACTTGGCTTGGAGCTCTCTTTATTAGAGGGGAAAATGGGCCCCTTATATACTACTCTACTAGAGGCTATGCTACTGATTACTAATCTACTATTAAAGTTTCAAAGAATGTCATAGAATTTTCCAGACTATTCCACCAAACTCCAGTGTTGTCTAATAGAATATTCCAGAATCTTTCAAATCAACATTAGTGGCTGTGCTCTGTGGCTATGCTAACCTGTGCTACAAAGCTATGTACACTGCCTCTGCACTGCCTGAATGCTGTACTCTCAAGCTGTGTTCAAACTTTGTTAAGATTCTCACAGTCTGATGTTAACTTGTTAAATACCATAATGTTGGTCTTGCATATTTGTTATAATGAAGCTTTGCATGTGTGTCATAATGTGCCACCAAGTCACATGAGACTGATTATGTAATGAAGTTTGAAGTCTTTCAAACTTTCCTCTCAGTACCGTAAAAATGAAAAACCTGTGTATGTGAATATGTCAGAACATGGCACAAAACATACCCTAGAATATGTGAAAATGTGTGAGAAAATTCTAGGAGGTGTGAGAAACTGCTGACTAATTGACAAATCATAAGTTTGAAGGCAATCTTTCAAAAGGATAAGTATTATTTTAAACCGTTAAGTAGTACTGAGCAAATTTGAGCCCAACAATGCTCAAATAAAATATGGACACTGCATAGGAAATTCTGGGTAGAACCATAGGCTATTGTGAAAGGTATGATAAGCCAGATATTTGCCATGTTCATGTACAAAATAGGTTTTGTGCATGTCACCGCGCACTCAAGCATGGACCATGGGGGTGATTCAGGATGCCAAAGCCAAATCCCACAACCTCCATAAATTTCACTCGCTCTGTCAATCCAAGGGGGTTTCTGGTACGGTGCAGCGTCCATTCTGGGAAGGATTTCCCTATTCCAACATTCATCTCTCCATGACCCCTGATGTCCTTCACCAGCTCTATCAGGGAATATTCAAACACATGGTTGCCTGGTGCGATTACTTCCTGCATCCCTCAGAATTAGATGCTAGGATCAAAGCGCTGCCACCCTGCTTTGGGGTTCGTCATTTCCAGAATGGATGGAGTGAGCTCTCCCAGATCTCTGGTAGAGAGAGAAAAGAGATGGCGCGCATCTTACTGGGATGCTTAGTGGGAAAGGTTCCTAGAAGGGTCATACTTGCCTACCGCTCCCTACTAGACTTCATCTATTTAGCCCAGTACCCCACCCATGACGATCACACCCTTGGCTATCTTCAAGATGCATTGGACACATTTCACAAACACAACATCAGGAAAAACCCGAATGGCGGTAGTCCTGGTCACCAATATAATGCATTCCATAGCTACCATACTGACAGGTAGGCGCCCGCCTAAATCTGTCGGTCGATGTACCCGATGTAGCTGACACGATGCGTACAGAGACCAACATATATAACATTATCACGTCCGAAAACCTATAGTACCAGTATCCTACATACCTGTCTGTAGTAGCGGCAACTCTATGTAATGGCACTTGATATGCAAAATGTATCAAGGTCAATAAATTCGTTGAAATAGAAATTGCTTGCCATCTCATAGACGTTTGCGCTCGTCCAGCTGGGGTCTACCTTTTGGCCCATTTTCGGAACAAGGTGACATGGCCGAACGAGCTCGTCAACGTGTACGACTGCTCCATTCCAACGCAAGTGACGAGTCAAACGTGAGACTTGACGCAGACCTGAGAACTGGTCTGGCTCCCTGAATGGCGTGAACCATTCAACATAGGCAAGAGGTCGCAAGTATGAGCCGAACTGACGAGGCAGCGTGAATATTACACGCACCTGCGCAACTCGAACAGCTATGACTGGGAGTCCATCACCGTACATTGTAAGTTAAAAAGCAATAACATACCTTCCAAAGTGTGCAACTTTGATGCTCGGACACCATCAGTTAACAATGCCATGTCAAATCGTGCGGGGGAACCTGGCTTCCATCCAGAAGGTGATGGAAGCACTTCAGGTGTTGCCCTCACCCGCAGACGTTTCAGTAACTCCGACACACGAGGGTTGGGGGGAATGATTATGATGGCTTGCCGAAAAACATCAAAACGGTCTTGATAACCAGGCACGATGTGATTGTGTGGCACGTGCTTCCGTAAAAACGACTTGAAAGCAGGCAGAAAATCAACAGCGCCATGCATGGTTTCAAGATGCTGGATAGATGGCTGAGGGTGTGGAGATGTCTTCGCAAGAACATGAACAATGTCTTGCGAAACCACTGGTATGAAGTCGAAGCCTTCCTCAGCATCAGAGTCGGAGTCATAGCCATATTGTTACAGTAACATGGCACGAGTCCCCCGCCAGCAGACAGCCCTCTGCCACCCACACGGCTATAGACGACAGCCCTCTGTGACCACATGGCTATAGACGATACCGGAGCCTCACCAGCTCTATAGACGATAACCGGAGCATCACTGGCTCTGTGACGACAGATGATGACAGATGACGATAGATGATAAGCAGCAACTGCCGGCTTAGATAAGCGGTCTGGACCGCACGTGACGACATAGGTCTAGAAGACCTATTAATGTTATCAAGATAGAAGGCAAGCCTCGTGCTGCCTCATGGACAGATAGAAGATAGAAGGCAAGCATCGTGTTGCCTTAGATAACGATAGAAGGATACCATGTGGATCCTATCTCTGATAGAAGCGTACCGCATGGACGCTATCTACGATAGAAGCCCGCCTCATGGACGCTATCTCTGACATATGTAGATAAGCAGATTAGAACCCAGCTTTAGGCTGAGCTTAGATACGACGAGTAGCCTTATATAAGGTCGAAGATTAAAGTAGACGTTCCTTACTTTAATCTTACTAGGTTTACCCTTGAACTCTTTGTCCCGCTAAAGCTACCTGCTCGACATCGACTCATACCTTCAGTGACGCCTCTCACTGTCTGTAAACCCTGCTATCATCTCGGCGTAACCCCTCGTTAACCACCACGAGCTACGTTCGAGTACGCAACCTTTGCTTGTCTGTAAAGGCCGACAACTCTCAGCACTCGGTACCACTGTCGTGGTTGTCACTGTTAGATTATCCTAGTCGCACACGACCGTCTGTCATAACACATATTGATGTTCAGTCTGAGCGCCATGTTCAGCGACCCACTCGAGGTAAGAGACCCGCCAGAAGATTGCTTCCTGGCGTTGAAGCCATAATGCCATTTGCTCCTCATAGTCACGCTTGTTACTCGCGCGGTAAGCTTCTTTAGCGAAGTCGATGTGCAGGCACTCGGGAAGTTCAGTGTTGAATCCATCAGCAGCCCCGAACAATTTGATTGACTGGACGTAGTGAGACAATTGATGCAGCTTCGGAATATTGAAATGATCGCGAACATCGAGTTCCTTCAACACATCCTTGTGCGCATGAAATACCGTGAGTGCATTTTCAAGACCGTCCAAGGATTCGCTCGTATGTGTATGCAGTTGTGCATAATAGCAAAAGTCCAGTATGGCCCGTGCAACAATGACGACTCGACTGAAAGCCAAAGTGGATCAATTACTCGAAAAATAGCACAAATTAGAACATACCTTGGGACTGCGCCAGCAATTAATGCAACAAAGATATGTTGCATCTCCTTGTGTTCCGTTCCTGTCCACTGTTTGATGCTAGATATACCTTTCTTAAAATGACGAAGACCTGGATAGTCGGGCATGGCCTTGAAGCGAGCATCAATTTCATCTTCACCTGCAATGTCGAGACACCACTTAACAAGGTGGTCTTTGAAGACTCCTTTGTGCAGCTGGTGGAGGAGGTCCGGTGTGAATGCCGTGAAGATGTTGGTGTGGGGTAAATTGGCCCAGAACGGCCTATACACTGTGCGCAGTCCATCCTCGTCAAATTCTACAGGGTGCTGACCATTCCTCCGTCTTTCTAGCGTCTCTTTTGTTGACTCCGGGTCCCGCATCAATGAGTTTAGCGGGTTGCCCCACTCATCAGCCGCAACCAAACACTTAGGGCAACGATTCTCCTTACAGCCTGCAACAAGGCACTGTTCAGGGAAATCTGCGACATATGCAGCCAGTATGGGGTACACTCGCCGAATGAAAGAGTCAGCACACACCATTTCAACACCATCCCGACCAGCTGCAATGAGAGGTTCCAGCAGCAGGGACAGACAGTGATGAAAAAGTCGGTATCCAGCCAGGGAACGTGCATCAGAGGTGAAGCAGTCGAGTTTTGTGGCTGGTAGGTACCCAATGAGGATTGTTGCCCAGGCAGATGTTTGTCGTTGCTTCTCTTTTGCAATGTTGCCGATTGATAGGTAGACGGGCCATGCAGATTTGTCACCTTGAAATTGTGATAACAATGTCTTGTCAGAGGCCAGAATAATAGGTGCCAAGGTTGCTCCTTCGGGCATTTCTTTCTGATCCGGCAGCAACTTAGATCATGGCGCTACTCTCATTTCAAAATCAATGTTCTACTCACTTGCTTGTCCCACCACCAGTCAGCCGTCCACATGTCATCTATGAGCCATTGAGTACCTCCTTTGTCCTTGTATGCTCGTGATGGTGCATATGCCATATGGTTTTTGAATGTCGGATTCCCAATGAGATCTTTGACACACTCAACAGGATCTCGCATCCAGATTTCAACCTCTTCACTCAATGTTCGCCCATCCTCATCTTCCCGATTTCCTTGCACCATCACTTTCTTGCAACTCCAGGAAGTGCCATGTGGAAGCTCATCCACTCTCTTGAGGAATGTCCGATTGTTGTGAAACGATGGCTTCGTTCGGTTTTTGGTCTGTCGTGTCTCATTTTATAGTTTTCTTCATAACATTCAACCGAATACTCACTATGGGTAATTTCAGATATTCATCTGTTCGTGTCTGACCGAGGTTTTTAATCATCCATTCAGCAAGTCCCCACTCTTCCTCATCAGCAAAGGGAGCCCAGACATCCTCGCCCTCATCCTCCTTGTACTGACAATAGCTTTCAAACACAGTCTTTCCCTCTTCTATTGGCCGGCCGGCATTAGGGTAGCCTTCAAAAAAGCGCCTGTTATATGTGCCTTCTTCGTCTTCGACATCCTCAACAGTTACACGGCGAATTTTTGAAGTGGCATCATCCAGATCAGGAGGCAAGTGTGTGCGATGAAGGGGGGAAAATGAGTCCGTGTGACTGAGCATATGATCAGGTGCGAATTCACTTTCATTATCGTGTGCATTTGAGTCGTCAATCGCATCTAATTCTGTGATTAAGGCTTCCCACTCCTTTCTGCATTGAGGGCGCCCAAGAATGTGTCTTTTGACACCTCCAATGGTTGGGATGTCCTTGCCGCAGAAGCCACAGTGGTGAGACATGGTGAGGGTAAGAGATATCAAAGTTTTGCATTTTCGGGCTTGCTCGGACTCTCGGACTTTTGTATGGATTGGCAACAGGCAAGTTTTGATTCAGGTTCGCATTTTCGGGCTATTTTACACTAAACTAATTTAGTGATTCCAAGTGCTGCAAGGTGCACTTCCAACAGTTGTGCCTTGCGTGCCTCCTCGCAACGCTTAAATTCTGCCTCCCAACGCTCCAGGACAAGTTTTCGTAGGTATGACTGCGAAACAGTAACTGGTGCTGGTGTTTGGCGATATGGGGGGGTAGGTGTCTCAGGTACTTCCGAGAGATGGGGAGCAGGAAGGGGACTTGGAGTGGGAGCAGGAAGGGGACTCAGGGGTGGCAGACGAGGCAGCCCCGTTGTCATAGTGAATTGGCAACGGAATTCTGCAGACAAGCTTTCGCCTGCAAGTTGATTAGTAATTGTGAGGATACAAACATGAATTGACGCACTTTTTTAGGTTCGATTTGAATGTTATCGGTTCTGTGGTGAAGTCTGCCAGATGGTGTGCATGATCTAGATATCAAGTCAGATTACGGTAAGTGTTTTGAAATCGGACTCATTCATACTGCTTGAAGAGGTTTACTTGATCCATGGCAGAGCAACTCAATGGATGAATGGATGCGGTTATGGGATTGAACGTTGCAGGTATGTTTTCACCTTCTTATAGGCTGCAGGCTCCCGATTCACCCGAAGACAATTTTTATTCGATTCAACAGACTTAAAGTTTGGAAGAGCGTGTTGTTGACGCGCTGCGTGCATGTTGTCATGCACATAAAAATTGGTATGTGCCTCACATTTAAATTTTACCTGATCGTCTCTTAACCTAAAACCTTGTTCTATGGCTGGAAAATTACTCTCGAAGTCTCTGCGCACTGCATCGGGTGCTTCCAAAGCAGGATCCAAGGATATTTCAACTCGCCTTGGACAATCACCCACGCGTACATCCAGTGGTCGTCAACGCCGTCCCACAGAGAAAGAAAATTATCGAAGTAAGTCCAAATTGCTCCCAGAGATTTTAACTGAGCCAAATATACTAGTCTCCGAAGTTCAACATGTTGAGCGACGCCACGAACAGAAAAAACAAAGGACCGACCAAAGGACCGTGAAGGCACTTCAGCACTGTCTTCAAACATCACCCTGAAGTCTTCGACAATGAGCCTGCTGAACTCCATAGTGACGCTGACGTTGAAGAAGACACTATGGTACGTCTCTCTGTTCTTAGCCGTAGTTGATCACTCATTGATGAATGATAATTAGTTCACAGATCGAAATGTTCATAGCAAGCTTTCCTTTAGTACTGGGAAGATACCACCTACTCTCACACCAGTTTCGCGCCACACAAGCTCTGCACGCAAGTCCTTAAGCAACAGCCTCGTAAAGGGTTACAAAGGTGCGTGTTCAGAATGTACATCTAGCTACTACTAACACTTGAATCCCAGGCTCATCGTCATCTTTGACTGCGGTGAGTAGTGGTGAAGCCTCCATGTCAGACGGCAGCCCTACTCATCCAGGTCGCCACCCTACTTTCCACAATAGTGATGACGAGTGGGCTGATGATCTTGATGCAGACGAGGATGACTCGGAGGACGGTGACAGGTGGAGACTCAATTGGTGAATGCAAACCAGTTGTTTTGGGCACCAAGCGGCCCTCAGATACAAAATTTGAAGACCCTATCATGCCGAAGGTGAAGAAAAGTATGGACGGGTCAGCTCAGCGCTTGAAGGCCAGCGATTTCGATGATATCACCAAGGAGATTCTCACTACTGCAATCACAATTTTCCGGTGCCTGGTTGTCACTCGCGCACCATTTCCAGACTCGATCCTCATCGAGACGAAGCTTGCTAAGGAGGCCTGGCGTGAAGCATGCAGTGCCAAAGGGATCAATGTTCGACTAACACCTGGGTTAATGAAAATGGTGAGCTGTCTAATTTTGTGATTGTATTGGACTCATTCATTGTGATCTAGATCTTGAAGAGAACTTCTCATGTCCGCGGTGAGCTAAAGACCAAGATGCGATCCCTGACAGGGTCATTTTTTGGCTTTCGTGCGAATGACAGTAGGGAAGTGATTAGGCGCAATCGTGATCGTGCAGAATCTCTCAAGGAGGGTTCGCTGTTTGCTTACAAGGTGTGTGATGAATCATCTACATTATTTGGTGATTGAAATCATGCGACTCTAGGACTGGGAGTCGAAGCAGGGAATCTACAAGACGGACTTGTTACAAATGGGTGTCAATCACATGTGGTTTGCGAACCGCAACGATGAGGGCATCGTTTACCACCAGTACTTCAACCCTTTTCCTGTCGAAACAATGGCACTCTTGCTGGCGTCTGTGAGTACTAGGACCGTTTTTCTGACGTTAACAACACTGATATGGTTGAATGACAGATTGAATGTTGCATTGACGAGTGGGGTACAGGTATTAAAGAAGATGTCAAGTTCTCAGGCAGCAAATTATGTGTCTGTCTACAACACCCATCTTGACTCCTTGCAGCGCTTCGAGGAACACACGGCCCCCTACAAACTCCTCGAAAAAATCCGTGTCAATCTGCATGATGCAGCTAGGTGAGTCTTCATTCAATCTACGCTACTGCATTCTAATGGCAACTCGAAGGTTTCATGCAGGTGTAGACTTCCTCCTCACGTCATCAACTGGGTCCCGCGTGACTGAGGAAGCATTCGATGATGCTCTTCTGGAGTATGAGCAGGAGTTGCAGGACAAGGAGGAGGAGGAACGGGACGAGAGGGATGGGACAGAGGCTCAGGGAGAATAAGTAATTCACTACTATCGAAATATAATGCTTTGTCTGATGTTGATTGGAAATCCGAGTCCGCCGTTTGTTTCATGATTGACCAGCCGCCATTCAGATCACGCAGGTGTCAGTAGAGCGGGTGGAATTTGTAGAACTATATCGTGCTACATACAGGTGCGCTATGTCAGATATATTTTGTCACTCTCATGTTACATGGTATGTCGTAGCGCTCTGTAGAGGCCTCGGGAGCTACATTGCTCTACAGATTGGGGGGATGACGACAGGGCTACAGAGGCTATGTTGCCTACAGAGCCCTATATTCTCATCTGGATTTTCCTGATGCAGACAATTGCTTCAAATACTGGTATTATGATATTATTGGATTTTATACTTGATTGGCCAGGAAATCGTATTGGATGGTATGCGAGTTATACAAAAATGCTTGGTACAATACACGTGCTCTACCCCAATCTCATTGTCAACACCACCTGCAAGAATTTGACAATAACAGACAGCGGGTAACCACGACAGATATTGTGAGCGTCTTGAAGTCCAACGAAAGCAAGACATAGTGGTCCATAAGCGGGGATTCGCACCAGGCATCACGGACTCGAATAAAGTACAGCGTTATAGGATCGGGCTCGGTGGTATAAGATCGAATTTGGCAGGCCGCAGTACTATAGAATGTGATGGGATCGACTCTGGCCATAGAATCCAGTTTGTGGCCTTGGAATAAAGGTTGGCCATGGGACCGAGTTTGAATGTAGGATCGAGTTCGAATGTGGGATCGACTTTGGCCATATTGTCGAAGACCAGCGTTCCTTAGACAGAAACATAGACCACAATGCTTGTTGCCGAACCATACCATACGGCACGACTCCCTGGACGGAGACTCGAGAAACTTGAAGGAAGTAGCGTTAATGAGTGACTAGAGGCAGAGTAGGCGATAGTGGGGGTTATAAATAAAGTCAGAGTCGGATCCTTACCTATGAATGACCAGAATATATGCTTGCCGAGCGGTGACTGAGGTCTTGACCTCTGCCAATGGAGTTGTACCTCATTCATCTTGAGATCCGGTAGTCAGAGTGTTTCGAAATAGGAAAAGAGGAATGGAGCAGGGTCGGAGCCGGGTAAGGCTGCGAGCTTCGGTGTCAGTGGTAGACAACAAAGACTAACGGAGAACTGAAACTATCCACTTTGGACGTCGGTTCAGGACAAATGACTAACAACTCAGACCGTATCAGTTCACTTTGAAGCAAAGTCACACTGATATGAAGTCCTGGACTCTCGTACATTAGTGATGTTCCCGGCCCGGCTTGGGCCCATGCAAGCCGCAGTCCGCATGCTGAATCAATGCTTGAACTCCACCATGCCGTTCCCAATGCCACGAACACCATGCGCAAACGCCCAGCACACGTCAGCGACTGCTGATGTGGCTCAGACGAATACGGACGATGGACGAGAGCAGAAGGGAAGAAGACAAGGAGGAGAACGAGAACGAGAGAGAGGAAATGGACGAGACAAGCAGGAAGACATCAAGTAATATGTAAAATAAATAAAAATTGCTTAAAAACGCACCATGCAGATGATGACAAGTGAGAACGTGAATGAGCGAGAATCATGAGAACGAGCGTCGAGAGTGGGCTCGAGTCCAACACAGGAGACAGAGAAGTCTTGCATTGTTTGTTGAATGACAGGGAGGGGAGGAAGTCTTCGTTCGGCGGAGCTTGCTGGTGCCGGCGTGCCGTGTTGTTGTTGTTGAGGCCTGAGGGACGAGAAGGATGACGGCGACGGCCTGCCTGTGTTGATATACTTGGCAATAAGCTCGAGGTTGGGTTCGGGCTGTTCCCTTTTTTCGCCTAGGTCCAGTATTGTTCAAGTTGTAGATGCTAGAACACTGGCTTGGAATCTAACATGGGGTTATAATGGTTTATCAGCAAGAAGCTAGATGAAGAAACAGATCAACACGCAATCATGTGACCCGTGTCGTAGATGCGCAATGTAGAACTTGGAACACTAGATTAGCGGTCGATATGGGTTTACATTTGATTCATCAAAACAAAAGGCAAAAGACAAGATAAGTAACACATCACAAATCTAAGCCGGTGCTATACACACCACGACATAGGCATATAAGGGGAAATCAGACATCGCCCAACTTATAAGGTGAATACTGTCATATCATGCTTAGTGGTTTTTAGTGATGAGCTTTCTGGATGAAGCCGATTGTTTTGTCATAAGCCGGACGGCCTCTGCGATATTATTCAGTGACTAACACTAACCCAGGTGACCCCGCCAGGATGTCGCGACCGGCAGCAGACGTAGTGATAGTTAGCTCAATGCGCACCGATATAATACCCCTGGATCCTCTATACCGGTTTGGACACTGTCGTTCGGTTTTCGTTCGTGTATAGCACCGTGACACGAACTGGCCTCACGTCCTCAGTCCAACACTCGCGATAGCTCATGAGACGTCTGACGGTCTGGGACATTCAATACAATTGCTGGTATGCAGTATGTCGCGCACCAAAGTGTCTTATGGTTTATTTGAACCTGAGGTACATATACAGTTGTACATAGTAACATTAGTACAAAGTTGAAATTGGCTCGCGTTATTTGTAATTGTGCCTTCTGGATCAAACAAAAACAAATAACTTCTTGTTCCAACTTGAAGTGCAGACAGGTCGCGGCCTTCAAGTTACCCTGACTCGCAAGGTTTCGCAATGCCCGGAGAACCATCGCGGTCGACTCTTATAGATGTGTATGTTTCTGTCCTTTTTTTTACCATGCCACTTTTTTTCTCTGACTATTGTTCTGTGCAGAACGAACCAACAACTACATTCCTTCCTGTCTGGCAGACTCGAGGGCTCGTCCCCAGACCAACTGTGCGACATCATATCTGCCCGTTCCTTGCAACTTCGAAATGTCGCCAAACCTTATGGAACGCCCACACCGGCGTCACGAAAAGCAGTCGAGGCTGGCTCAGTCACGCTCGCGGATGGTGTTGTGTTGCAAGTCGACGAAGTCGAGAGGGAGTTCACACTTGCAATTAGTACTCGGTTCGGGATTGATGAAATTCAGGCTTTTGTTCTCCTTCGATCATTCCTATATAATGAAGGTCTCTCAAATAACGGAGGCTCAACCGATAAAGGCGTTGTGGACGAGCTCATCGCAGCAATCACGCCATTCTACTACTCCGAACGCCTATTCGTATTGCGCGCCCTCATTCCACTGTTCCGTGCCCACGAAAACACTGGCGACTCAATCCATGCCGTTGCCACGAAGTGTCTTCCCAGAATCCTACAAGACAGTCATCAATTCGCACTCGACCTCATAACAGAATACCTTCACAAAACTGAAATGGACATCCCAGAGGTTTTGCATGCCGATGCACGTATTGCCTCTCGTTGGGCTAAGCAGAACATGAAGGAGCAACTCGTGACGCTAGAGGTGCTCTTTTGGACAGTCTGGGGGTATGTTCCTTGCGATGGACCTTTGGTTGTTCGAATATTTGAAGCTGCTTACAACACGAACCTTGGCTCCTCGCAGAAAAACTCGACCCTTTTGTTAGATGATGAAGGCAATCAACTGCAGCATGATTGCGCGGCGTTATGGATACTTGTCACTGTAGAGGTCCTTGAGTTGGAGAAAGTGGCAGAGGATGGAGGAATAGAGATTTCGGCAACTCCTTCTGACAAAACGTTCTATCCCTCTTCGCCAGAGTCACTCAGACGGATTCATGAAATCGTGACATCCAACTTGTCCAGCCAGCACGCGTGCACACACCTAGCATGGGCCTTCGTTCTGTCGCGGTTGACCTCAAAAGCTGGTCAATTGAAAGAGATTCCAGAATCGTATCGCGGGTTTTTAGACTCCCTGCATCCGCACCACAATCGCTCTAAGGAAAGGGAGCCATCGCATGTACTTATGGCACGGGCAGCTTTCAGTCCTGAAGCCGGCCTTTTCAAGCTCTTGTTGACTCTCCTTACAACCTCCCCACTGTTTGTTACCTCCGTTGCTTGGAAGACAGGGTCGACTGTAACCGACCCAAATGCTATTGCATTCCGCTCTGTACTCAAAGGTGACAACATTTTTCTGCGTGAAACAGCACATTAAAGATCATTTCCCTTAGGCTTTGGTCATTGCAATGGTTGAATTGGTCCCTGTGAACTCATTCCCGACTTCGACTCTTTGGTTGAAGTTTGGATTGCGCTGTTTGGGCGCAGCGAGTGTCAATCTATAGCAGGGATATGCCGACAATTTTGGCAATCGGATTGGCGGCAGGGCCTTGCACGTCGCGCCATATTTGATGTTGCACGAACACGCTTCCCAATTCACTTCCGGCCGCTCATCCGCCTTCTTCGAGCAATGACTGCGTCTGGATTCATTGATACTGATCCACTATCCACTGCAGCATCGTCCACCCAACCTCCCGCTGATGAAAAGTGATGATGGTGACCGTGAGATTTGTAGTCGACATGTATTTTACTACGTGGATAAGTTGCCTACTTTCTCGCTG